CACTCCAGCCTGGGTGACAGAGCAAGACTCCCTCTCAAAAAAAAAAATAACAATAATAAAAATAAAAGCAGACAGCTTGCAGTGTTTGCCAGAGGAGGGATACAGAGGAATGGGGAGGACAGGGGAGAATGAGGTCACTTCCTTAAGGAAGCTTGGAGAACTTGCCATGGCATGGGGAGTGTGGCCAAAAATGGGCATTGTGTGGCTGGAGCTTAGATGTCTTAAGTCCTAATAGTGAAATGTGGCACTACAAAGTGGGAAGTGCCAATGGGGGCGAGGTTAGAGAAACATCTGGATTTTAAAAGTGGCAAACATTGAGAGCTATTGAAGCTCAGCCTCTAGCAGGGTGTTGATGCAGTCAGAGCTGTACCTTAGGAAAGTCATTGTCAGATGTGTAGGATCAACTAGAAAACAGGGAGGATGGTTAGAAAGACCAGCCAAGGCCGGGCGCGGTGGCTCATGCCTGTAATCCTAGAACTTTGGGAGGCTGAGGTGAGCAGATTACCTGAGGTCAGGAGTTCAAGACCAGCCTGGCCAACATGATGAAACCTCATCTATACTAAAAATACAAAAATTAGTCAGGTATGGTGGCAGGTACCTGTAATCCCAGCTACTCGGTAGGCTGACGCATGAGAATTGCTCGAACCCAGGAGGCGGCGGTTGCAGTGAGCCGAGATTGCGCCACTGCCCTCAGTGTGGGCAACAGAGGGCAACTCTGTCTCAAAAAAAAAAAAAAAAGAAAGAAAGAAAAGAAAAGATAAACTAGCTTAGTGTTTCTAAACTGATGAACCTTGAAATGATGTCTTGCGGAACATTAATAAGGAAGCCTTGAAAGAAGCTATCAGGCCAGGCTCAGTGGCAGCACACCTGTAATCCCAGCACTTTGGGAGGCTGAGGCCAGGAGTTCAGGGCTACAGTGAGCTATGATCGTACCACGGCACTGCAGCCTAGGCAATAGAGTGAAACCGTGTCTCTCTAAAAAAATAAATAAATAATAATAAAATTATGAAAAAGTTGCATTTTAATATAATGAATAAATTTTTAAAAAATAGCAATCAGAGCTCAAGTAAGTTGGGAAGCCCTGGGATAAATACATTTTACAGATTTCTTTACTACAGGACTTTTCAGAGCCTTTAATAGACTGTATGTTCAATGTGACAAAATAAGAAAGAAGTACCAGTTTAAATGTTCCCAGTTTTACTTCATAGTCCAACCATCCCCCCCCC